CAGAAAATGCAGGTGCTGCTGTGTCCACTTCATTAGTGTCTCACTGTTGAGTGACCAAGCATGATGGATGGTGCTTCAGAAAACAGCAATATTCTGATGTCTTATACGATCTCCTATGTCCTGTTCAGGTGTTTATCAGCCAGATGTCATCTCAGCTGGGACAATCCAATTCTCTTATTCAGATACATGCAAATAGAATGGGATGCAGCATAGTGTGAGACAATACTATATTTCACAGAATCCTAGGGCTGGAAAGGACCTTGAAGATCTTCTAGTCCAACCTCCCACCCAAGGCAGGAGTTCTTTATACTTTCCCAGAAAAATAGTTGCCCAATCTTTTCTTGAAGACCTTCAGTGATGTAGCCCCTACAACTCAAGGAAGCAAGCTGTTCGATTGTTCTCTCTGTCAGGAAATTCCTCATTTCCAATTGTTCAAATAAACAAACCAATAAATGTAGGTTGGCGCAGAAGTCAACATACAAGGAAGGATAATCATGGACTTTAATTGGCACAGCATTGGGTTGCAGCAACAGGTAGGGCACAATTGGGACTGCAAGTTACGTTAGTAAGTGATGTGGTTGTTGAGTTCTCACTTTAAGGAAAATATAGCTGTTGTTTCCAAGTGGTAAAGACATGGGAGACCACATTATTAACGGGTCCACTATGGAAGGTTTTTTAAAATATTAATTTAGGTAACGTCTGAATATGAAATCCTTCCCTCATTCTTGCCTTTAGCCAGAAATATCTGCAGTGTGTATATGTATGTATGTACAGTATATGAGAGAGAGGGGGGGGGAGGGAGAGAGGGAGGGAGAGAGGGAGGGAGGGAGGGAGATGGTTTCAAGGAAGGCAGAATGAGGAAAGCAACATTGCACTGTTGTAAAACAAGCCCCGCCCCCTTTTAATATATCATTAAATTGCATTTGCGTGTGTGCGAAAAGGAAGGAGCTTATGACAAAGTGCTGATTTTGTCACTTTGGCAAAAGCAATAAGCTTCTATGGTACCCACACTTCTATCTGCAAAGCAGAGCTAATCTAAACAGGCAGTCCTCAACTTATGACCATAATGGAGCCTGCCCATCACAAGCATAAGTCGTGACATTCATGAAGCAGGTCACCATATAACCGGGCCCGTTTTTATAACCTTTTTGGCTTCAGTTGTTAAGCAATCATCATGGTCGTTAAGTGAAACCACTGCTCACTATGGTGTTTTTTTTGCCAAAAACTCAAAAGTAAATGCCGGTTTTCAACAAAAACAGTAATAAATTGCAACCACATGACCGCAGGATGCTACAAATGCCCGTTAAGCGCGGACTGGTTATCGAGCACACTAATGGTGGTCATGTGACCATGGGAGGAAGGGAAGTGGCTGTCAGAACTTCAGAACTGGGTCAACCAACCTTTTTGGGTGGTCTGTTGTAAGTCAAGGACTATCTGTACCCCATTCCCGGCAAAAGGTCAAACTCTGCAGCATATCCCATCACTATGCACTATTAAACACATAAAATTTGCTTCTGAAAAACCTGCTTTCCCTTCATGGAAACTGCCAGAGACATTGCAAAGAAAGCAAAGCACACTGAGGAGTCAGTCCTAAAGTAGCTTTGTCGTCTCCTAATCCTCGTACTGATTATGAAGATGGTGCATAGACGGAACCCATTACAGTTCTCCCCCATCTCTAATCTGACTCAATATTCTGTTTTTGTTCTTCTCAACCACACGAGGAACATCTTGCAAGAAGAAAATGGGTTCATTCTTATGATAACAATGGGCAGAAAGGCTGTGAAGCTTTTTTTTTTTTTACAAGAAACCTATTCATGTATTGAATGTCTACATCCCTTTCCTATTTATTCTATAACCCAACATGGTTTACAATAAATAATCCAAATCTTCCCATATTGCTGAGCAATATCCTCAGATTTTGTCCCAAAGGTGCATTGTGCCCTGGGAATTCATGGCAAGAAAAAGATTGATCTTGCTAGGCATAAACCAGAATCAAAGCAGGAGATCCAGTGATCTCTGAACATCATTAACCTACCCTCATTTAAACGTTCTCAAATTTTAATGACTGGAAGGCTGAGTAGGTTGCCAATTAAAAAAAATCATTGAAATCTGGAAGGACAAAAGTCATGGTATATAGAAAACAAACCAACATCAAATGCAGGAATGTTTCGCCCAAACAAAGCCATCTTACTTATTTTTATTTTCTATATCAAATGTTGAAACCACCCATCTCACACGGACAGCAACCTAAATAACAGTTTTAAGGTTACACATAAGGTTATGCCTAAAATTGTTCGATCTCAAAAAAAAAAGTGTTCGGAATTTCCTTTAATCAGATTCAATCTTGTTTTGTCCTTTGGAGGTCTGTTGACTACTTAAACCTCCAGGTTCGATGCTGTCCGCAGCCTCGTGTGTGCAGCATTTCTCAACCCCAGTTGTTGAGAACTGGCACTACACAAATCTCCCCTGACCCCTGTCCACTTACATCATCACAGAATGCACAATTATATTAACAATTCCAGCACGGAACCTCCATTCTCTAGTAGCCAGGGTTAGGAATGTTCATAAGTACAGAAATTAATTACACAAAGAAAAGCAAGTATGCATAAAGCTGATGAGTTTCAGAGTAGAGTGAAGTTATCAGAAAGGAGAGCTGGATGGAATAGAATCAGGCCTACTCTTTCTAGCCCTCAACTCTGGACATAAATCATCTAACAGATTTTCTACATAGCTGTCGCTGTCATATGAAATGTCATGCACTTTATGACTTGTGACCTATGCATGGAACAGCAATAAAACAGAAGTCCCATACTCACCATGACACTTCAGTACCCGCTATTGAGTTTCAAGAGATTTTCAAAATAACATCATACACAACTTGAATGTAATCAGCCACACAAAAACTTTTTGATTAAATAAAATGCATTCTTTTTTAGTGTGTAAAAGTTTGCATGAACAGTTTGCTAGTAAGATTTATGGTCTATTTGTATGGGATTATCCAATTCTTTCTGACACACATTCCCTGGTATTTCTGACAAGATACAATACAAAGCATTTTTATTTCGTATGATTCAAGATTTGCAGTTTCCAACAGGAAAGCAGCATTACTATGTAGGATTTTAGGTATGTGCAAAGTGACTCTTCAAGAGAGCCACAATATTAACTCTGTTTAGCTGATTAATAAAAATTAGTCCTACTAAGATCAGGATTGGTTCTGGTACACCAGCCTCTTTATCAGTGCTGTCTGAACATTCTCAGTTTATTCTGCTATCCAAGTGAACTATTTAGTCACCAAATCAAAGGGATTCTAATCACAGGAAGAAGTACAATAGCTATGCAGAAAATTTCCTCAGAAGTTCCTTACGATTTATATGGACTGTTTCCTAGTATGATTTGATTGATTATGGTACCCTATGACTATTATTAAGTGTTATACCTTATGATTCTTGACTCTTGACGAATGTATCTTTTCTTTTATGTATACAGAGAGCATTTGCACCAAGACAAATTCCTTGTGTGTCCAATCACACTTGGCCAATTAAAGAATTCTAATTCTAAGTTGGTGAAGCTGAGTCAAGGAAAGCACCCTCATAATATACTAACAGCACAAAATAATCTTGACCACAGTCAATCAATACAACTCTTAACACTGTTCAGATTTATGTCCATGAATTTATTTCTACTTGGTGATTGGCAAATACATTTTCCACAACGATATACAGAGTCTTCCCAGGAAGTTGAGTCTTCCCAACTTACGTGTGTCTTTCTCGGTCACTGCTTTCATATTCCAAAATGACCATCAGACGTGGGTAATGACTGCAGATTTCACCATTCACATTGTGGATCAGGCTGTAGCAATAATCCTTACTGAACAATTCAAGGCAGCATTTTTCAATGTGCTCTACCTGTATGGGTAAGAAGCAGTTATTACAAATGTAATGTCGCACACCTCACAAAAGTATTATACATTCAAGGACAATAGCCTTAATTTTAGAAGCTTAATACCCCCCCCCCCAAAAAAAAAAGAAGTAACACTGATACTCAATATAATTTAAAATACAAAAAATTCAAGCAAGAAATATAATATGTAAGCAGTTAGTATTTATCACATGGATTTGCAAGGTAGTAGCCATATTTGTTCATGGAGTAGCATTCATTTGAAATGCTTATCATTCAAAAGACTAATCTTTATTGGTAGGTTTGGCAAGGAAACTTTTAAATAGAAATGGTCATTGTGCAAAAACTAGAATAATTTTCCTAGAAATATCAGGGTTCATGAGATGAAGCTGGAATCTGTACAGAGTTAGGATGTCTGCACTGAACAGTTTCTACCAAATTAGGGAACAATGTCCGTATTACTTCATACAACACAAAATTTCCCACCCAGCTGCTTTTTAGTTCTCTAATTTTTTTCAGGAAGCATCAAAAAAGAAACATAAATTTCATGCAAAAACTCCTTTAAAAAAAGGAACATCAAAACAAGAGAGCAACTTTCTGCAGTTGGTCCTCAACTTACAACAGTTCGTTTAGTGACTTTTCAAAGTTACAGTGGCACTGAAAAAGCTGACTTATGACCATTTTTCACACTTAAGACCATTGAATCTCCACGTCACATAATCAAAATTCAGATGCTTGTCAATTGGCATGCATATATGACAGTTGCAGTGTCCCAGGGTCATGTAATCACCTTTTGCAATCTTCTGTCACGCAAAGCCAACAGGGAAGCCAGATTCACTTAATACCGTGTTTCTCATATAATAAGGCCGGGTCTTTTTTTTGAGCCCCCCAAAAATGGCTAGGCCATCTTTTCGGGGGTGACTTAATTTCCGCCCCCTTGCATCTTCGGGCGGGAGGGCGGTGATGACTTGGATGTTGACCTCGGCGTTGGCGGGGCACTTCGTATTGGGGTCAACACAGGCAGCACCATATCCGGGTGTGCAACAAAAGTACTTCCTAATGGCAAGCCCCCCCACCATTCCCCCCCATTTCGCATGTTTTAATATAGGCCTTAATTTGGGGGGAGGGGGTTAATTTCATTTCATGCCTGTAAAACATGCTGGGACTTCCTATTGGGGGAGGCCATATTGTTTGGAGAAACAGGGTAGATATAGAATTCTTTATTGGCCAGGTGTGATTGGACACACAAGGAATTTGTCTTGGTACAAATGTTCTCAGTGTACATAAAAGATACACTCATCAAGAATCATAAGGTACAACACTTAATAATAGTCATAGGGTACAATAAGCAATCAACTCATACTAGGAAACAATAAAAATGTTAGGATACAAGCAACAAAGTTACAAGTGGGAGGGGATGAGTGGGTGATAAGGAGTGATGAGAAGATTAATGCAACTGTGTTACTAACTTGACAACTGCAAGGATTCATTTAAACAATTGTCACAAGAAAAATCTTTAATGGGGCAAAATTCACTTAATGTTTCACTTAGCACCATAAATGTTGGGCTCAGTTATGGTTGTAATTCCAGGACTACCTGTATCGGAAACATGCAAGTGATAAAAAAAAAATGGCAACAAACAAAGCACCACTTCTTTAATAGGTACGCAACGTGCAGACCCCGTCCAGGGTAGGCATCACAGTGTGCAAACCATGCTTAAAATGTTCAATCTTAAAACGGTGGATATATATTTCTTTGTCCTGAAGACTGTTTCACAGCTCCAGGTTTCCTGCTGCAGGAAAGCAGCACACCCGTCTCCAGTAGAGCCGTTAAAAGTCCCGCGCAAGAGGCTTCCCAGGTGGGTCTGCCTGCAGGCGTGGGGTCACCCGGAGTCTCCTCCATCTTAAAAGAGGCCAATGCATGGCCATGCTGGGAAGGCGGGTGCCATGCAGCAAAGTCCCATGAAAGCCCTCACCTTATTATTGCCGCTGCTCCCAGCGCTGCCTCCAGCTGCTCCTCCGCTTTCCCGGGCCCGGTATTGCGCCCTCGAAAACTCCAGCAGCAGCTCGCCCAAGGCTCGCTCTCCGGAGCCAGCGGCCTGCAGACAGGCGGAGCCGCTCCGGGCACTTGCCATCCGCACCCCCCCACTCACGGGCTCAAGCCCCGGGCTCTCTTCCCCAGCGCCTTCGCCATCCCCAAGCTCCTTCCGCTTCCGGAAAGGCGATGGTGACGTCATTGGAAGGCGACGGAATCCCCCCCCCCCCCCACCTTCCCCGCGAGCCCGCCAGGAGGGGGACTCGAAAGAGGCCCGCCGGCGTCTTTCAGATGATTGAGGGGGGGGAGGGCGTGGCTTGATCTCTGGTGGGCGTAGGTGGATGTTTGGAATCCTCCCGAAACGTGAGGGTGGTGGGTGAGCCTGGGACTGTGTTGTAGCAGAACCTAAGACTCTCTTGCTGGGCCGGGGAATTCTGGGATATCCACACATTTTAAAGCCTTCAAAGTTGAGGAGCACTGATGCCATGGTCCAGCTAGCTTATACATCATTTTATCCTGAAAACTGATTTTTTTAAAAAAATATGTTTTTATAGAATACAAAAGCAAATAGTAGGGCACTGAGGGGAAAAAGCAAAAGTATTGATTTCCAACTATCTCTGTTGCAGTAGAATAAAGCATTACCATCGAACCTCATTTCTTTTACTTTTCCGTAGTAGTAAAAAACAAGCCATTTCTATTAAAAAAAAAAAAACCAATCTAATCAGTGAAACTCAAAGTCAAAGTTTTGGTTTTTTTCCCCCACCACAAGCACAAAGTCCAGAAACAGTCTCCATGTAGAAACAAAAGTACTTCTATCCAATGGAACAGCTTGCATTTAGCAGTTATGGGAGCTTCATCACTGGAAGCTTTCAAGAAAGAGACTGGAGTGTCATCTGTCAGAAATGGTGTAGGGTCCCCTACTTGGGTGGGGTGGGGTTGGACTAGACAACTTACAAGGTCCCTTCCAATTCTGTTATTTCCTTTGACCAAAATAGTCAATTTAGCCAGCTCCATCAGCTTCTGTGGCCATTCGTCCATGGTGGGACTTGAAATGTCCTTCCATTTTTGTTCATACAATAAGTCTTGCTGCGGTCAACATATATAAAATCAAAGTTCCATATTTTTTTCCAAAAAAATTAAGCCCAAACAAAAAGTCTCTGGAAGAGTTTCTATCATGACTTGATGCCTAATCTTAGTTGCCCCATTGTAGCTTAATCTAACATGGTTTGTTATCCTCCCAGCCAGAGAGAAGTCAAATAGAGGACTTTTTAAAAAGAGAGGTGCAAGGAAATTGGATGCAGGTTATTTTAATGCAGGGAGGGGAAAGCTATAACTCTTGAGATGTCACTGTCCAAACATCTCTCTTAATAGGTTCACAGTCAGTGTGACCAATGATGCAAAATACGGAGAGGTGAAATTCAGCAATGTGTGGAAGGTCATAGATGGCTCTGCATTCTTCAGAGCCATTTCTTCATCTGTTACTGTTACTTCATTCTGTTACTTCAGTTGCTGACTACGATAGCAGAGGTACCCGATTCCAAGGCTGTTTGATAATGCATATGTAGTAGATTACAGCAGAATAACGGTGTTATATTAATGGAGAGGAATGATTGGAAGATTAGCTTGGCTTGCTTTGCTATTGCTAACTTTGTGGGTGTGCCTTCAAGTCACTTTTAACTCCTTATCAACTGCCTGCCCTGTAGTTTTCCTGGCAACATTTGCCATTGTCTCCTTCCTTGAGCTGAGAGAGAGGTACTGACCCACATCACCTAGCTGGCATTGCACGTAAGGTGAGATTTAGAACTCGCTATCTCCTGAGTTTTTAGCCTGGTGCTTTAACTACTACTAGACCAAACTGGCTCTACCTGCAAACCAGCTAGAAAAAACCTTGATGAACATTCTATTTGGCCTGCTTGCATTGCAACCACTAGATGGCGGCCAAGCACTGCTAGGTGCCAGCTAGGTGATGTGGTCTTTCCATTCCTTGAATCTTGAACAGCCCTCTAGTCTCTGCTACCCGTCCACAGGAGAGCTGATACAGCTTACCTTGTAAGCTGGAAAATCCTATATAACCAGTAATGCCAGGGTACTGCTGTTAATTGTCTAGATTCTTGGTTTACCATCCAGAAAGCATCATTTGCAAGGACTCATGGAATGACCTACTTCAAGTGACCTGAGCGCTTGTGATCTAAATGCTAAAATGGTAATGATCTAAAACTGCATTGCAAATTGAAAAATGTTACGTCCTCTCATTATCTGCACGCTGCGAGATATGAAAGAGGCACTCTCAGCATGCCCATATCATAGATCATACTCAGTGACCTGAATAACGCCGTGATACTCTGCAGCTGAAAATGAACGTGTAAAAATACAATTGCCAAGAAAATGATAGTGTGTCATATGAGTTTTAGTGGCCTGGCTTGGCTGCTGTGGTGCCGCCATAAGTCAGTAGGAAAGAAAAAGAGACCAGAAGCTCAGGTGTAGTCTTGGAGGAGTGCTAACCCGGTCAATTATGGGGCAGAGGCAGGCAGCATTTCTTCCCTTTTTTTAAATACACTTTTTATTTTTTTATTTCTATAAACACATCATTATGTGAACAGTGTGGTTCCAGATTGTTACATTTTAAAACAAACATGACAATAGTTGCATATTGGTACTATTAACTTTCTTATCTAGTTTGGTATTAATGCATATTGTCAATAACATTTCCATATGTTATTTTATATCAATTTCTATATTCTTAACATTATGTCTTTTATTATAGATATTACATTAATAGTCATATTTGCAGTGTTTAACAAATTACAATATAATTCAAATAATCATTCATACATTCATATTGGTTTATATTATCCATTATTTACCCCCCTTTTTAGTTTTTAGTTGTGCCACCTTTATGTTTTAAAAACAAAGTCCCTTTCTAATCTCATTATAATGCACACACATCATAATTTCCATCCTATTTTCATTTAACAAATTGTACAATTCTAATAATAATATAATCACTTTTATCTGTGGAATCTGATCGAAAGAAAAATAATATAGTATATGGTAGGAAGGCAGCATTTCTATTGGTCAGGCCTTGTATATAGGTGTTTGGGAGGTGGGAACTGTCTGTGTCTTAGTTGCTATGGGAGATGGTCATGGGTTGGCCTGTGAAGGAGAAAGAGCTGTTGCCATTGTTGGAAGAAATATCCTTCTGGGTTCAGTTTCGAGTGGGGAAAAAGACACTGGAATCATTGAAGTTGCTTGGAAAGAAGGTTTACTGATGAACAGGATAGGTTCTTGGGCAGAAAAAGAGAAGAGATGTTGAGAGTCCCTGAGTTTTATACTCTCTCTGGCTTTGAACTTCCTCGGGCACAGGAAGAGTATCCTGACCAAAAGTACACATGTAGACTGGGTGAAACCAGGCTCAATAGCAGTAACTGTGAGAGGGATCTTGGAGTCTTAGTGGACAGCCAGCTAAATAGGAGCCAGCAGTGTGCAGCAGCAGAAGCCAAAAAAGCTAATGCAATCCTAAATTGCATTAACAGAGGGACACAATCGAGATCAAGGGAGGTACTAATACCACTCTATAAAGCCTTAGTAAGATCACACCTAGAGTACTGCATCCAGTTTTGGTCACCACATTATAAAAAAGATGTTGAGACTCTAGAAAAAGTACAGAGAAGAGCAACCAGGATGATTAGGGGACTGGAGGCTAAAACATATGAAGAACAGTTGCAGGAACTGGGCATGACTAGTCTAATGAAGAGAGGGACCAGGGGAGACATGATAGCGGTCTTCCAATATTTGAGGGGCTGCCACAGAGAGGAGGGGTGGTTAAGCTATTTTCTAAAGCGCCTGTAGGCCAGACAAAGAATAATGGATGGAAACTGAACAAGGAGAGATTTAACCTGGAAATAAGGAGAAACTTTCTGACAGTGAGAACAATTAACCAATGGAACAGCTTGCCCTTGGAAGTTGTGGGAGCGCCATCACTTAAGACTTTCAAGAAGAGATTGGACTGCTATTTGTCAGAAATGGTGTAGGGTCTCCCACTTGGGCAGGGGGTTGGAGTAGATGACCTACAAGGTCCCTTCCAACTCTGATGATCTGTTATCTGATTGGTTGCTATCAGAGGTCATAGCTTGCTTTGTAAGTTGTGTGCTAAGTTTGGTTGAAACTTGGTGGGTGGTGCAATGAAGGGCAATTCAATGGTTCTTCCTGAAGGAGGCAGATCTTTGTTATGTAGAATAGACTGGCCCAGGCCTATTAACAAAGGTTGGGGGGGGGGCTGATTTTCCGCCTCTCTGAGTTTCGACTTCTCTTTTAGGGGAAATATTCTGTCTTTTTTTTTTTTTTTTTTTTTAGTATATCCTAAAATGTTTAATTTTCCTAGGTAAGGGGTGGGCTTTAATTTCCAACACCACATTTTACCAAATGTAGAACATAGCTCTAGTGACTCTCTTAGATGTTTTGGCTAGAGAGAAACATCCTAGTCAGTGTGTGTGCGCGTAGTTGCAATTTCCTGGCCCTGGAAGGGTAACGAGGATGAAGAAATGGGACGAGACTGAGGCTTCTCCTTGGCAAAAGAGAAATAAAATCTCAGGCAGAAGGATGAACTACACCTGAATCCGGAGGGGGGAGACAGCTGGTTGCAGGCTGAGGCTTGGAATCTTTGGGGAAGCCCCAGACCAGGAATGGCTGGGCAGAAAACCCAGAGGAAGGTGCGTCATGCAGTCACGATGCAGAGGGTTGACTGACGAGATCCAGGAAGACAAGACATGCTCAGCATGCTCTGCAGTAACACAGCCAATTCCCTTTCTATCTCTCTTGGCGAAAAGCGGAAAGGAGGTTGGGGGGAGATGGTAGTTTAGCAACAGAGGGGTGGTTATTTGTGAATAGCCCTGAAAAAGAGGCTCGGAGAAAGTGACGTCTTTGTACATAGAAGCTCCTACTTGTAAATAAGTTGTACATAGTAAAATAAAGCCTCCGCTGCCTCTGTTATGTTGCAGTGTCCTCCTTCATGACAAAAGCACACCTAGCTGCCAAAGAACCCAGAGCCACATATTGTGCAGTACATACTTTTTCTGTTCATGACCGAGGCTCCAATCCCATTTTTCCTGCTTCAAGAAAAGGAGACTGAGGCACAGGAGAGCTCTTTGGCTTATATTCTAGCAGCTTCCAGATTC